GCGGGCTAAAGTCCTCATTTTTGCCACAGCAAAATAAGGCGTGCTGGGTGAGCCCTCCCCGGCCGCAGGACGGGCCTAACGCCGGCTGTGGGGCCGCGGGGGCAGCGGGTCTTGCTGGGGGGCAGGAGGCACCCCCTGCCCGGGGGGAAAGGAGGAGAAAAAGGGGGTTGTGTTAATGTCCTCTTCTGTTCACCTCCTCGGGGAGGGCGGGGGTAATTTGGGTGGTTTCTTCTTGTTTGGGCCCGCTGCGGAGGGCAGTAAGCGTCATCAGCATAGTCCGAGCAGGAGATGGATGCTGTGGCTCCTAAAAGCTGGAGGACGCTCAGACGGCTGCTCCAGAGGCCTCGGGAAAAGCATGTCATGGCCCCATGCGGCATAACTGAAGTGGAAATATTCCTGTTTGCCACCATCTCACTTTGTGTTTTTCTTTCTGTTTAACCTCAGTGAGGGCAGAGGAGCCCCGGGGTGGCTTCAGCACCGGTGGGAACGTGAGATAGATTTGGGTTTGGAAAGTGGGGACAGACAATGGGGGTGGGGTATCTTGAAATTGAAATCATCCTGCAGCAGGATTGTTGTTAAATGAGCGTCTACATCAAATTTCAGAACAGATCCTCAAGTGACACTCACTCTGTCATTTCATTTGTCTTGGCCACTCAGGATGAGCATATAGTCTGGCTGCATAGTCATTTCTATTTATGTTTGGTTCCCTGCATGTAGCTACTGTGTGATTTCTGGGGTAGGGCAAAACCTCTGCTTGTGCTGGAAGCCCATACAGAGGCTGTGAGGTGCCTAATGTATTCCCATGCCCCATGTATAGTGTTATTCCTTAAGCCAGCCCATTGAAAAGATCAGTTATGATTTTTTGAAGTTAACTGTCTCTAAGATAAATCTCCCTGGTAGCCTATAAACTGCCACCACTAGGATGGGTTTGTGTAACAGACAGGTTGATGTTAATCCTGAATCGAGCTGGTGGCTCTGGATTTACTCCGGGTGTAATGGAAATAAGAATCTGTCCCTCTGTCATTGTGAAGGTGTTGGCAGACTCTGCCAGCATTTTGCGTCTTCCCACAGAGATATGAGCACATTTAAATTGGCAGCTGAGTATCATAAGCTTGACACTTGGATTTAATTAACTTCACATCTGTCTGGATATCCAAAGTGGCTGAAAGGGCCCCGAGCCTGGGCTATAAGAAAGCAGGAAATTGAGGTCAAGGCCCAGCAGCAATTCTCAGGGTTCAGCGTGGAGAAAAGCAGTTACACCCAGACAAAAACAAGTCTGCCATATGCCCGTTTCTGGGTCACCTTCTTCCCTCTGTCCACATCTCAGGGAAATTGGTGAAAGAACCCCTGGAGAGTCCTAAATAAAATCTGTAGCTAGTAGAGTGCAATGTGGAGTGTTTTGGAAGCAATTTGAGAAGGGAAAATGTAGGATAATGCACATGAGATCTTGCCTGGAGTTTTACCAAGCACCTCAGCTGGTTGAGTGAAACACCTGCTAGGTGTCTTAGAACATGCTATTTCTTATAAAACATTGCTCCAAGAGGCTTACAGCGGAGGATTTTTTTGTTAATACTTTTAAGCATCGAGATACAAGACAAAGCCCTGGGTTTTTTTGTATTTGGATTTATTGAGAAAGACATTTAAGCTCAAACAAAGCCTGTCTGAAATCGTTTATGGCTGCCTGTGGGTCCAGGGGTCTATTTGCCTGAATTCAATTGCAAATTAAGGTCTAGAAATGTTAAGAGGAAATGGCCAAGCTGAAGCAGTTCTTTATAAAGCAGCTACATTTTCTTTATTTCATAATGGCTAAGATGGATTTAATTAGAAAACATCTCTGTTTTCAACTGAATAATGCTCTTTGTTTACTGTTTGAGCCATTTGGGAAAATGGAAATAGGTTAGCCAGTGTTGCTCACAAGCAGCTTTTATTCCTACGTATTAGTTCAGCACAAAGCACTGTGGATGCTGCTACTGCAAAGAGTTGTCAGAATCCAGCCAAGATAATCCATGCAATTGAATTCTTAAAAAGATGGAAATAAGTGTTCAGTGTAATCTTTGGAGGGGGCGATCTCTGGGAGAATCTGATGCTCCTCTAACTGCTTTTTTTATTCCGTTCTTCCTCTGCAACAGGAATTGCTAGGAGAATTTGGGAGCCGGCACCTCTGGGGTATGGGATCTGGCTACCTAAAATCTGTAGGAGCTTTCTGCCCTTGTTGTTGGGGAAGGAGGGGGAACAAGCTTCTGCAATTATTGCTGTCGGGGTGATGAAAGGAAAAGTTTGAAATACGATTTCAAAGGCTGGCTGCTGCTGGGCTTCTGCAGACAGAATTCCCATTGAGATCTGTGGAAAGTTATGTGGGACCGCTGCAGAATCTCATTTGTTTTCCCCGTTCACAGCAGCTGCTTCTGCAGAGATGGAGTGCAGGAGCCAGCAGCTGAACCAGGAGGCTTTTATGTTACAGAAACTTTGGGAGACTATGGCATAAGATGCAGAAGGGGGATTTTTCAGTACTCAAAAGCCACAGCAGACCCTGCCAGTGGGCCAGAAGCTGAGGGTAAGAGCGTTCCCTCTGGATGTGGTTTCCACTGTGGTTTCCCACCACAGTGCAGCAAAGCTGGCTGGCAGGCTGGCTGCAAAACTCGTGCAGCAGAGCTGGCTGGCAGGCTGGCTGCAAAACTCTGGGACGATCTAGTAAAGGATGGGGGGTAATTATGGCTTAATGTTCATTAAGCAGCATTTGGTTTTGTTTTCTTGGGCTGGAGTAGGACAATTTCAGACCCCAAGCCCTACAGAACTCAGTTGCACCTTCCAAGCAGGAGCCAGGTCTGACTGTGTTTGCAGGTGAAGCAGTTTGCAAGCCCGTTCAAAAAAATGGAAGATCTTTCCATTGAATGCAACTGGATGCAGATGGAAGAGACTACATTTTAACTTGTGGTGTGAGGCCTGAGAGATTTCCAGGGATGTGATTTTGAAGCAGCAGTTCTCAGGAGTCAGGGAAGGAAGGGAGTTTGGCGCAGTTGCTCATGAAGTGCCAGGATGGATGGCTGGCAGGAGGGCTTGGCAGAACTGCCTTAGCTCAGCGTGCGCAGCTCTGAGGGATTGCCTGTTGCTGCTGCTCGTCCTGCTGATTCTGAGGAATTGTTGGGGAGGCTGTGATTGATTCTGACCCTGTTTTATTTATAAGATCTTTATTTCTTGCACTGGTCTCCGTGCTATTTTTTAAACGCATTTGGCTGTCAAAGTGTCAAAAACTGGAGAATTGCTTTTGGAGTTTATCTCCCAGTCCATCCATCTTTGGCATTTATCAGGTACCTTTATATCACTCTGGAGAGAACTTATAGCTCCTTCGGGGTATCTGTTGCACCTCCAGCAAGGACAGCCAATGGGGACAGGGCTGCACTTAATCACAAACCCCATCTGCCCTGCCAGGGTCTGGGCTGCTCCAGGCCCAGCACAGATGAGAGCACCCAAATTCTGTCCTGTTAACTTCTTGATACTCCACACAGAGCCTCCAGACTACAAATACGTGTGTGATAAGCCCCTCTCCCCTGTGGGACGAGAAGGACCAGGCACCTTCAGGTTGCTTTTGGTGGCCATGGAGTTGGGGGTTCTTTCCTCCTAGCTATGAGGCTGTTGTGATCTTAGTTATTGCAAGTGCTATATTCAGTGAAGCAGACTCATCTTGCTGCCATAGGCTGGGGAGGATAAGGACAGCAGTCCTTGATGTACAGGAGTAAATAGGTGGCTAGGTGAACTGAACAAAATGTTAGGTCCTTTAGTGTTTGTGATGCAGCTTCCCACTTGCAGTACAGGTGAGATCGGCTTTTTTTTCATCTTTGAGGAGTTGCTGAGTTTCTTCCTTACCTTGTAGAGATGGACATGGGGGAATTTCCTTCCTCTTGCATGGCAGCTTGTGGAGGTTGTCTGTGGTCTGGGATTAAAATCTCGAGGCCCCGGGTGGAGGCTATGGCATGGATGTCTAGCTCCTCCTGTTTGTACATTGGATGGTTTCTGCTGCACCTTCCCTGGTGCAGGTGGTGGCTGGGAGCTGTTGGCTCTCTGGGGGTCTCTGCTTTGTGCGATCTGAACTCCAGCACACTCGGGGAAGGAGAATTCTTTCAGCAGAGTCATTGTTGCTTTGGGTAACAGAGGTAAGAAATGCAGATCCGAGCCTGCTCTCCCATGTACATGCAGCAGATGCTGCCTTGCCAGTCTCTGATGGACAAGAATATATACTATTGGGTCTCACCTCTTTCTCTGTCTGCCAACCCTAAATGATTTGAGTTGTTCTCCTTTGGAAGCAGGTGCTGTAAATCTTGGATCCTCCGTTCCCAGGGCGGGCATGGCTGGGCGCCGAGGATCTGTCTGATGGTTCCCAGGCCGCGCTGATGCTGCTCTGCCAGAAGAGAGATGGGGAAAAGATACTTCTGTGACTATTGTGACAGGTCCTTTCAGGACAACCTTCACAACAGGAAGAAACACCTTAATGGAGTGCAGCATCTCAGGGCTAAAAGAGTCTGGTATGACTTATTCCGAGGTGGGTACTACCAACTGTCTGCCACTCCCTTTCTGGGACTGGGGAGGTGATGGATGAGGTGTGTGTTGGGGGAATAGATGAAATAAATCAGCAGTGATGATTTATATTCAGATCGTCTGTGCCAGTAAACTGTGGACTTGATGCTGTTGCTGTCAAGCAGTCTCAGAGGCAAAACCCTCATGTGTCTGGATGTGGGAAGGGGAAGTTGTAGATGTCAGCTGGGACTTGAAATGAGGTGGAAGAAATAGGGAGGTTGTTTCTGAGAACAGGAGTTGCAGATAAAGCTCTCTTGGCATCATGGGCAAATCTGAGACAGGAAACCTGAGTGAACAAAGGAAGTTATCGGTTCTGAAGGTGAGTTAGGTGCCTTCTGCAATCCAGAGTTGATCTCTGAGATGCGAGGAGCAAGGGATATGGGCATGTATGTGTGTCGATAGAGAAAGCAGGCTGGAAGGCAGGCTGTACACACATGTTGCATGAACCGGCGGGAAGCTGGCAGCAGTTCCGTGCACTGGGTGGAGATGTTGGTTCTGAGGGTGGCTGTGGGAGGAAGCATGAGGATGCAGCTGCTTGACTGGAGACCCCAGAAGGGTGAGAGGTTTGGGGAAGCAGCTCAAAGCACAGTATGCTCAAACCTATCTTAGCCAAGCCGGGGAGCAGAGCAGGAGGGCTAGATGCGCTGGGGCTTTGGCAGAGGAGGGATTGGAGTTCTGGGGCTGGAGGCTGTGTCAGGATGCGCTGGAGGAAAGCCCTGTGTCCTCTGCCTGTTTAACTGACTCTTCATTCAGCTCTGCACTCTGACTTGGCTCGCCATGCAGTTACGTGTGTTTTAGTACCAGCCCGTGGAATACGGTGGGAATGTGCGTCCAGGGTCCTGAGAGCAGGACTGTGTATTTTGACAGCAGCAAAGACTTAGTTTGGGTTCATCTGATTGTGAAACCATTGCCTGTATGTTCGTCTGCTTCCTCAGGATCAGGAGTTGCAGGCTGTGTTTGTCTCCTGGCTAGCTAGGTGAGGAATACCCTGCGGAGCTCTGGGTGGCTCTGCTGTCTGCTTAACCATACGTGGAAGTTGGAAAGGCTCTCAAGTGTGGACAACCAGCAGTCCCAGCCCAGCTCAGTTCTAGCTGGGTTAGTGATGGTGAGGCAGATTACCTAGCACTTTTCTTCTCACCAGGCTGCAACTCTTGATTTCCCTCTGATTGATAAAATTCCTCATCCCATCCCTGATTAGGGGGTTTATCTCGTCTTGTCTCCAGACTCTGTGGCCTGGCATCAGCCAGTGCAAGTTCTTCTGCAGTCTATGGGAGCTGCTGTGTCTTTGGGGCTCACTTTCCCCGGGATGTCTCCGGGAGGTGAAGGACCATTTCAGTGGTGTTCACTGGAGACTCGGCACAGGGTTCTGTGGGGCCTTGCACAGAGCTTTTCTGAGAACTCTGTGAGTCTGCCTGGTCTTTCTCTGCTGCACAGAAGTGCTGCAGAGTCCTTGCTTTTCTATCATGCTTTTTTTTCCCCTACTGGCATGGGGAGAAAACATGAAGCAGAAAGCAAAGAAGGTGCTATTTGCAAGCCAGTGAAAAGCTGAAGCCAGGGGTACCGATAGGGGCTGTTAATTGTCAATTTGTCCGTGGCTTAAGTTAATGGTTGTCATGTAAAATGGCTTTGCACTAGGCAACTGACCTGTTTGGGACCATGATATGATGGGGTATTGCTGTGCAAGAGATCTTTACCCTGTTTTGTCCCTTGTCTCCCCTAGATGCTGCCGCTATCCTGCAAGAGGAGCAAACCAAGAAACCTTGTCGGAAATTTCTACAAACAGGTGAGTTCTTCTGAGGTAGAAGTAACTGCCTGAGCTCCGGCAGCTCCTTCGCGAGCCAGACCAAGGCTGTTCTGGAGAGCCCTGGTATGTGTGCTTGTCTTGGAGGGAGCGAAGGGCTTGGGCCTGTGTGTGCACCATGCACGTGTAATGGATCTTGGGTTTGCACGCACATTTACGAGGGGAGGCCTTGTGTGTGCGGCTGTCATGGAGCTCTGTGACTTTTGTTCCAGGACAGTGTGATTTTGGGTCCAACTGCAGATTTTCCCACATGACAGAGCAGGACCTGGAGAAGCTGAGTGCCCAGGTTCAAGGTGAGTCCTCGAACAAGGAAATGTCCAGGGTTCTCTGAGGAGGAGGAGTTGCTGCAGGGAGTGTGGGCTGCAAAGGGGCGCGTGAGGGGTTGTGCAGTGAGAGCCTGTGGTCCCGTGTTGCCTGTGTGCAGCAAGCCAAGCCTGGGTCCTTCCCACCTGCCTCTCAGTGATACGTGAGCCTGTAGCGTGGCTGTAAGTGCTGCAGTTTTTCATATGCTCTCTGCTCTTGATCTGCTGGCACAGACACAAACCTAGAGCTGAGCAATGCTGTTACTACATAGCAGCAAATATCTGAAGCAGAGAGTAGGCTTTCTGGGCCCTCCGGGTTTTGTTCAGTCAGGGAATAAAAACTGTCAGCAGCAGAGGGCACTGGTACATCACTTCCCCTTAAATTTATGGATTTGATTTCCCCCCACCTCTCTGCTATTACCAGGGAGTTGCTGCTTCCACTCTTGGGAAGAGCTAGCCTGCTGTCAGTTGGGTTGTCCTGAGGAGAGGACATGGGGTCCTGGATGCAGAAATGGCCTCTGCTCATGTGGCTTTGGGTGGAACTGAAGTTTGGGCAGAGGATGAATGGCAGCTGCTTCCCTGCTGTGAGTCTCCAGAGCACTTTTGAACTTTTTCATTCTGGGAGTACCACCTGCTTGCCCTAAAAGGCATGGCAGCTCTGTTTTCTCTATAGGATTCATTACTTTGGTGGTTAGAGAAAAAGTGAGGCATTGGTGAGAACTTACAGAATGGTTGAGGTCCCCACTGACGATTGTCTAGTCCCAACCCTACCTTGCTCAAAGCACGGTAAACTAGAGCAGGCTGCTCAGGACTGGCTGTCCAGTTGTCTTTTGAATATCTCCAAGGCTGGAGACTCTACAACCTCTGTGGGCAACCTGTTCCAGTGTTTGACCACGTTTGCAATAATTTTTTTTTTTTTTAAATATTGAAATGAAAATTCCTGTATTTTGGTTTGTGCCCATTGTCTCTTGCCTTTGCTGGAGTCCCTCCAGTATGTCCCTGTCTCTGTGGTACTGGGGAGCCCCGCGCTAGACACAGCACCCAGACATGGCTTCACCAGTGCAGAGCAGAGAGGAAGGATCACTTCCTCGATCTGCTGGCAATGCTTTTCCTAGTGCAGCCCAACTTCTGAGCAGATCTTGTGCCCACACTGCTAGCTGAAGCCAACTGTTGTTTTGCCAATAGTCTGGCAAAAGCAGGCTTAAGTGTTGAAAGTGTGTGTGTGTATGTGTATGCATACATATGAGGTTTGGGGTGTGCGTGGGGTAGAGACTCTCTCCTGGCCTTCCGAGGGATCAGATTTGAGGAGGCAGGGCTCTGGTAAGCCTGGGGGAGCAGGAGGAAGGCAGGCACTACAGAGCTATTCCAGTCCTTGCCGTTGCTGAGTCAGTCTGCGAGTCCCTGAGGCGACTCTGTGAATCAATCACTGAACAATGCTGGCAGTCAATAAAACCCATCTTGTTGGGCTGCACGGGAGATGGAGCACTCCAGCCAGCCCTTCTCAGAGTGGCAGTGCCGGGCTGGCAGCCACATTCCTCTTCCCCGCTGCTAGCCCAGAACCTCTCCCCGACCCTTCTCTGCTGCGGGGTTTAAGTGCTGGGCTCCTGAGAAGTGGCATAGGATGTCAGCCTGTTTGCAGGAACCTGTAGCATTTCCAGTCATTGAAGGCTGTTTATTGCAGGAGAAGTGAAAGCTCTTTGGAGCAGAGTGGAACTGCAGGGGAAGGCTGGCAAGCTCCTCTGCGCTTGGGCAGGTTTCTTTGCCAATTACGCTTGTTATTGAATATTGACTTCTGTCAAATGGGTCAGGTGTAAGTGGAGAATTGGCTAGTGAAAGAGCTGATTCCCGGGAGATTACTTGGAAACCTTGCATTTGTATTACTGAGTCAAACATTTAATTAAACAATTAGACTTGAAGGAGCGATGGTCAGGGGTTGGCAGGGTGCCTTATCCTTGGCTGTGCTGCTCTAACACGAATGCCTGGTTGTAGAGTTAAATCCTGCTCACCTCTCTTGTGGTGTTGCTCCATGGAAATCCTGTGTGAACTGAGCGAGCAGGCGGAGCATCACACAGACCTCTAAATCTGATCAGTTGAGCCTGCAGAGAGCTTGGAGGGATTTGATGGAGGGAAGAGCTCAGCAGGACTTGGTGGAGAAGAGGCGCAGCCCATAACACAGTAGACTGGATGGAAGGAACAGCTGCAAAAGCCAAGCCGCCATTCAGTGTGTCATGGGGGCATTTTGCCACTCCTTAGGCTACTGAAGCATCAGTGGTGAGGCTTAGGGCAGAGTTTAAGTCAAGCTTGTGTGATGGCAGGTTGGACTGCAGGTTGCATTAGTCATGTGGGAGACCTGATCCTCATAGTATGTCCATCAGGCGCCTGTCAGTAATGTCCCTATATGCATTAGCAGCTAGTCACGGTGTTTCTGTGCTGTGAGGCATCACAGGCCACTGCCAGTGAAATGATACAGTACAGGTTAGAGCATTGGTCTGGATCAGACTGCCTCTCACTGAATTGTCAGTGTCCTCATAGATTTCCCGTCTGAACCCACAGCGTCAGAGAGATTTTGACATGCTCGCAGCCTGGAGTGGTCAGGGATTTGAGATGAGCTGAGAGGCTAGAAGCTCCAGAGCCCTGTCACCATTTTGTGCAGAGCCTTGTGTGACTATGCTGGAGATGACCACGCTCTGCCTCTGGTGGGGTAAAAGTGGATGGTCTCTTGGTGGGTCCACAGTGCTGTTTAACTCTGCTTTCCTCAGCTCTGGTGCATGGGCGTAGAAGCAGAGGAGCTGTCAGACTGCATTGAACTCATCTCCCCTTGTCCAGGGGTGGATGCTTCAGAAAAAGGTGCAAAGAAATCCTGTAGTGAAGTGTAGCCCACTAACCCATTGTTCAGGGGTGGGCTTGCATCCTAAACCACGGCAAAGACTTTTCTGACCTTTTTTAATGATGCTAAACTGTGATGGCACTTTCTTTGTCATATAAATACTGAACCTGTCCTGAATCCTTGTTAAGTGGTGTTGGTAGTTCTGTGTCGGTGAGCTCCCCTTGCTAATGGTGCATTTTTATTACAGCCAAAGGAAACATTACATTATTCTTAATCTTAACATTTGGCCTTTTTAATGCAGGGAATTCACCCTGTTGTTTGTGTTAGTCTTGTGAGTTAAGTAGGAAAATTTCTGGACGATTCGCTGTTCTATATCAGCTTAGAGCGTGTCCTAGTTTGGCTTCAGCATTTCTGCACCCCGTAGAATATACTCATCAAGAAGCAACAGTTTCCACCTTCAGCAGGGAGGGAGGCATATTCCCAGCTGTTACCGCATCAAAGCATTAGCCTTCTGCATCTGCTGCATCATTCATCAGCAAGACACTTCCAGGCTGTCATTTTAAGTACAGTCATGTCAGGAAAGTCACTGTCAAATTGCCATCTTCTTGCTTAAAGTTATTGGCTCCCCACTAATCTGCGTCACTTCTGCTGGTAGTATTGACACAACCCAGCCTCTTTGGTGAGCTCCAGCTAGCTGGAGCTGCGAGGGGAGGGTAAGGGCACAGTTGGGTGAGTGTTTGCAATGTATCTGTGTGATTGAAAGAATATGCGTGACCCTGCTGGGGGTGGCTGTAGCCAACCAGTTTAACTTAGCGATGAGCAGGAGAAGATGTGCTCTCGCAGTCGGCTGTCACTTCTTGGCTGCAGGGCAGTAACTTCTTAAGCTGCTCATTGCAGGGCGTCATCAACCTCATCTCTCAGCTGCAGTCTGCCGCTGTTCATGTGCTCTGGAGGAGTTTGGGCTGCCACATCTTCCTGCCCAGGGCGGGAGGTGAAGGATTACATGTAAATCTCTTTGCTGGGTGACCTGCTCGGTGCTGGTGGTTGCATCTTGCATATGGTGGTGTCTCATTCAGGAAGAAAACTCATGGTAAAAGTTGCATGGGAAGAGAAGATAAATCTGGACTCCCACTCTGACATCATTAGAGAGGCACTTCATGACTACAGACACTCTGTTAATTGGCTGTAATTAGACTTAGAAGCAAATAGCCCAGTGAGAAAGAGGGGGGAAGCACCTTCATGCCTGTCATGCTGCTGCAGTCTGGCTGGATGCACTACCATGTAGGAGGAGTAAGTGCTGGTAATTGTGTTTCTGTTACATCTTGGAATACCTGTTGACATTCAGGGGGTATTTCCAATCTCATGGTAGTATTGGTGGTCCCTGGATGGGACATGTGTGCTTCAGAGGAAGATGAGATGAAAGGTTTGCCTTTTTGATGGGTGTGTATCAAGGTGGACAGAGCCAGACAGTTGCCCATACCTGCTGCCTTACTTCTCAGCCCAAGGGTTGGAGTGGTTTGGAGCAGTAGTAACTTGTGGAGCTGCGTGAATGGGGAGCCAGCTGGATACCTTTCTAATCTGGACACCTGGGGCCTCATTTAGGCCAATGTGAGGCTGGAGTCGTTCCAGTGCAGCCGGTGAGCTTTTCTGGTTGAGACAGTGAGTTATGGCTGATCGAGTGGGCTCCCACCATTTCCTGGTGTGGCACTTTGGGGCAGTGGCCTTGGGGCTCCCTGGTGTAAAAAGAGAGGCTTTGGCAGGTTTTGGTATGTTCTGTGTTGGGGCTTGGAGTGGGCTGAAAAGGAAATCTTGCGGTACATAGAGGCGGGAGAGGTTTCTCTCTGTGATTTTCTTACCTGCCTTATCAAAGCCTCTCACAACCACTGCTTGCCCCCTTGCTGAGGTGGGATGTGCCCAGGTGCTCGCTAGGTGGAGAAACCTGGAATAAAGGGAAATAAGGTGGCTGTGGTCAAGGTTGCCAGGGAAATCTAACTTGGGAGCTGAATTCAGATATCCTAAGTCTGAGCAGTGCCCAGCTCAGCAGACTAAGCTTCTTGCCTCCCCAGTGCCCTCACCTGTCCAGGCTGTTGGGTTGACCCCAAATAGCTCTGCTGGGGCTTTGCTCCTTGGGAACAACTGTAGGAGACTTGAACAGCCCTGTCTCCAACCGTATCCTTATAGCCCGGTTGCAGAGCAGCACCTCGACATCAGGACCACAGCAGGCTGTCTTTGTGGTGGCAGTGAGTACATCGTCACCCCTCCAGCAGCAGCAGATGAAAAGGCTGGATGACAAATTATCCATCTCTGGCTGCTCATTGTGTAGCACATTTCTGCCATCCTTATTAATATTCAACAGGCAGATGAATAATTGGTTGCCACCACTAGGATGAAGTGATCCTTCACTCTGCCCAAGCAATATTAATTTCACACCCTGTCTGGAAACGTATAATATTTTCCTTAAACGTGTGACATACGGCAGGTAGGTGTGGAGGAGGCTCTTGGTGGGCACGGCTGCAGGTGGCTGCCACTGGGGTGGGACTGCTGGCAGGTTGATCTCTAAATGGGATCAGGGCTCCCCCAGAGTGCTTGTCCCCAGAGCGTTTGATGAGTGGGGCAAAGTGGAATGACACACAGCTGCCTTGGCTTCCTTTTTATTAATATCACTGTTTGTTTTTCAAAGTATCACATTCCCTTTTCTGTTAGGTGGGAACTTTCCACTAGGCTGGAGATCTAATATCTCTGAGCATCTCCTCAGCCTGCTCCGCCTGACGTGCTGTCAGGAGCATGACTGTGTCGTTTGTGTCAAGGGCTTGTGCTAGACCCTGTTCTCCGCTAGGATCCCTTCCTGCTTTGTCACTGGTGCTAAGGGGGGACCGGGGAGCTTTGCTAACTGGGCAGCTGCGGATTTCTGCCCAGTGGGAGGGACTGGTGAGTGCTGGGCTGTCCTGCTGGCTCTGTGCCCTTCTGCCCGGAGAGGACAGTGCTGCAGGACAGGGTGCCTGCAGGCATCTGCCCCACACAACCCCCCGGGGTGATGGAGGGGTTGAAAGCTTGAAAGGACCTCAGGCTGTCCTGTCTCTTGGTAGACAGCAGAGGTTTTCTACTGGTTTCCTTGCTCATTCCTAACTTGCATGAGAAAATGCAGGAACTTGTTCCCCTCTCTCCCTCCGCTGTGCTCTGCTCTGATTTTGCACCTAGGCTGAGCAGGGCTGGGCAACAGCCTCCCGCCCTGTCTCTGCAGGGGCTGGGGATGCATCACGCAGCGTGCACCTTAAACAGACCTGACAGCATCTCTGAAATCCCGTCTTCTGGTTGTACGCACACTCTGAACCTTTCAGACTCTCGCGGCCTGCCAAGTCTGTATTGATCCGGACAGACGTCCCTGTCACTCCGCCCTAACTGGGCAGAGGTGGCAAAGTCCCTCCTGCCAGTTGGAGGTACATGTCTTTGGAAACAGCTCAGGGCTCAGGGCCAGCAGAGGCTGTTTCAGGCGAGGATGAGGACGATCTACCCTGGGGGGAGATGTCAGACTCCCCTCAGTTAAGTGCCCGAACTGCCGCCGTGCTCGCTGGCTTAGTTGTTCCCGGCTCTGTCTGGCTGGAGCTGTCACCAGTGAGGAAGCCAAGCATCAGATGGCAGGTGGACAGTGGAGGAGGAGGAGGAGGGGCCGCCACAGGCAAATTGCAAACTCTCCACCATAAGAACCTGTGCAGGGTAATGAGCAGCGGGTTTAATGGAGTGAAAGGACTGCAGTGCGAGCATCTGATAGCCTTCTCTTTCTCAACCAGGGGAGCAGAGATCGAAGGAGCTGCGGCAGGAGGGAGCAGATGTCCCGCCTGGCACCATTGAGGACTGGCTGGAGAAGAGAGCAAAGAGACTGAGCATGGCTCAGAGTAACAGGTACTGGTGGCTGGGGAGCATCCGTGTGAGGGCTGGCTGCTGCTTCTGGCCTGCATGATGCAGAGGGGGGATCCCACAAGAGGGGTCTGAGTGGGATAGGAGAAGGCGCAGGTGATCAGAGGCCCCAACTTGATGGGACCCCCTAAGCTATCATTTATTACTTGGCCTGCCAGCACTGCATGCCTGCTCTTAGCACACGCTACAGACACGTATGGATCCAGTCTTGCATGCATCATACATGATCATCAAAGTTGCATGTACCTGTCTCCCCATGTGCCTGGGGGACAAGCCAGGCCTTGCTGCCTGTGGCTGCTTCCCTGGGGAAGGCAAGCAGAGGGGTACTCCTGTGCTCTTTCCAGAGTGCACAGACATGCCTGGAAGGACAGTGCCACCGCAGTGCCCAGTTATTAATGCCCAGAGGTCAGTGGCAGGAGCCTGGTCTCATCTGTTGACAGCTTCCCCATCCTCTGCCTGCCCTGTCTGCACATCTCTGCCTGTCCCTGCCAGTGAGAGGGTGGAATTAGCTCCTCCTCATGGCATTCATTCAGATTCGGGTGCCTGCCGGTGCCTGCTGTTTCCTTGCTCACCTGACTGTGCCGCAGGCTTAATTGGATGACATTTGGGCAGGTGCCAAATCTCTCTTTTGTTCTTTTTCTGTTTGCTCCTGTCCTCTCTCTTGTTTGGTCTGGGCAGGATCTTCCTGCTGGTGCTTGTCTGGGCTTGTTGCTTTCTGCTCGCTCCATCCATCAGCTTGGCTGCCCCTAGCCTTGCAGTGGTGCTCACTGACAGCCGTAACCTTCCTACCCCCCGTACACTTCACTTGCCCCATTTTGCTTGTCCTGCCAGTGAATCCCTTGATCTTGGGGTAGATCATCTCTTACAGAAGATAGCCATCGCTATACCTAGAGGAATTTCCAGACCTTCCTAACTACTTGGTCCCTGTTGCCTCCAAAGATGCACAAGACCTGGGATTTCTAGGGTTGTTGCTTTCTACCCAGCCTCTCTGTCCCTGCAGGCTCAGAAACCATCTACTACAGGAATGAAACACCAGCTATTCAAAGCTTCTCTTCCTCTATCTGGCCTTGCCAATGCCTGTCCCTGTCATTTCTCTTCTCCTCTTGTGCTCTCCAGCCCCTGCATTGCCCTTCTGAGCAACTGTGTGTTTTGCTTTGTCCGCCAGAGAAGTTGTTTTGCACTGCCAGGGAAGAGGGCCTGTTTTAGGCAGATCCCTGTGCTTCTGGTGCCTGGGGAGTCAGTGTTCCTCCTGAAAATGCTTTTAAGGTCAAGGAACTCCCTCTCCTTCTGCAGTCCTTGAGGTCCCTGAAATGTGTCAGAATCTCTGGCAGGGTCTAACGCTGCTTTGGGGAATTTGTGGTTTTAGATGATAATGTGCCTAGGGGCTTCCTTGCCTGGCTGGTGATGTCAGTAAAGACCATTAGTCTGCACAAAACAGTAGAGAAAGTGCTCTCGAGGGCAGTCATCTCCAAAAGGAGATGCTAGAGACCCAGCTCCACCTCTGTCTTCTCTGGCAGCACTGAGTAGGAAGGATTCAAGCTGGGATGGAAGAGGTCTTGGAAGCATGATCTCCCGGAGTGTGATAGGAAGCTGTCGCTGTGTCAAGACTCAGGCTGTGAGTGTAGCTGAGTTTCTGTCTCTGCCTTGCTGGGGGTTTTCTAGCAGGACACCTGGCAGGCAGTCACAGGTGGAGCTACTGCCTTGCACGGTCTCCAAGTATGGCGCAGTGCAAAGAAAACGCCGCACTGGACTAGAAGTGGCCTTGTGGCCAGGTACTGCCTTGGCTGAAGGGTAGCACTTTCTTAAAGGCAGTACCTTGAGCACCATTTCTGACTGTCACCTAGATTAGCCCCATGGGTGGAGAGTTGCCACGCTGCCTTGCACCCGTTGTTCGTGCAGCCTCTCTCCCAGCCTGGCTGGGCTCAAGGGGACAATCTTCATTTGGAAGCCTCCACCTGATGCGTATTTTCAAACTCACTCCATGCCATTGCTTTCTGGAGAGCTGGGGTAGAGTTGGATGGAGTTCCTGTAGTTCTCTTAGCAGTGGAGCTCTGCCAGGGTGTGATTGATTTTTAACCTGATTTCCAAAGGATACAGAGCATGTCAGTGCACGTGAGTGTGTGCTTCTGCCATAACTGCTGCGGAGCCCACTTGTTGATTTCCATCAGAAAGGGGTCTGAGGCCTCAAAGATACTGAGATACTACAGGTTTCATGAATGTGGAAGTGGGTAGAGGAGAGGGATCCCATTAATGCCTTCAGAAAGGAAATACTCTTGACCCTTGCTAGAGACTGGAGAATCCACACAGGACAGCCATTCTGAATGCTCCAGCTTTAGGTAAACCTTTGATAGCACTTGTATCTTATGAGACCCCAGGGAACTGAGTACCCAGACAGCATCTTCCCTATTGATTAGTTCTGCTGCTCACAGAACAGCTCAGTTGATAGCTGTGCTGTTCCACCTTGCAGCATGCCTTGTCCTGCTCCCCACCCCACTGTACTGCTGCTGCAGGGGCTCCCCTGCCTGCGTGAGCAATAGTGCCTGGATGTAACAAAAAATATTCCTGCCTGAGAGGGGCTTGGTGTGTGTCCTAGCAGTCTTGTCTCATCCTCGGCTCTGAAGAATCCCCATCAAGGAGCTAAGCATTAGACCAAATGACTTTGTTCTGTGTTAGTTGCCTAGAAAACACTGCACTCAACTTCTGTAGCTGGCTTCCAACCACATCGTCGGCCCTGCAGGGAGAGGAGGGTGCTGCTTCTCTGGAGCATTATGTAAAGGAGTTTGATTAGATTTCTTCTGGCGTAACAATTAAAAAGATTCATCAGGATCGGAGGTAGAGGCCTGAGAAGCTGGAAGGCTGCTGTCAGGGCTTGTGCTAAAGAACAAATGAGTTTCCTGCACTCAAGAATTAATGGAAAAGGTATGTTTCCCATGAATTTAAACCTGCCCTGGCCCAGCACTTTCTTCAGCTGGAGACAAGGGAGCAATGCTTCTTGCTTTTGCACTTGTTCAGTCAGGTGTGTTGTTTGCAGCAGCCTCAACTAGTAAACTTGAAGGAGAGAGACAGAGAAAAAGGGTTTCCCAGGCTGTGAGTTGGAGGAGGAAGCCTGTTCCCTCTGCTGAAGGGTACTTCTGTGAAAACACCCCATCATTTTGGCAGTTTCTCCGTTTCTGAGGGGTCCTTGTCCTTTGGGAAGTACACAGCTGGCTTGGGATTCAGGCCTCTCGGAAAGAAACATCTGCTAATTTTGTTTGTTCTTCTCAAAACTCAGCTGTGTGAAGAGTCGAGAGCAGCTGGGGGTAGGAGGGGACGGGGCCAGCTGTGCTCCCAGCACCAGGCCTCTCCTGCCAGCAGCTGTTCCTGGAGCTGGTGCTGCTGCCCCTCTCAGGGGGCTGCGCCTGCCCCCCCCCTTACCTCACTGCTCCCACCTTACTGTTCAGTGGCGTGCGCTACGTTAGCAAGCACGTAACAGTAAGCTTGAATGGGCTGGGGGGGTGGCTACACAGCACTTCTGCTGTTGGATTTGGTGGGAGGCAGTGAATATACCTACTTGTTGATAACCAAAACCCTCCTCTGCTGGACCCCTCCTCTTTTGGGTGCTAGCGGAGGGGGCACGGGGAAGCTCAGCCCCTAAGCAGGGCCTTGCTATCAAACTGAGAGGGCCCTGTCTCACCTCTGCCCCTTCCATCTCCCCACCTCCGCAGTGCTCTGCCTGAGAAGCCAGCACCTTTCCAGTACCCGCCAGGCTGGCCGCCAGTGCAGGATCTGCCCCCATCCCTGCAGGCCCCCCCACCTGGAGGGTGGCCAGCCCCCCCTAACCTGCAGTGGGGCTGAGGCACAGGGACCCCCACAGAGGTTGTGCTGGAGATGAACTGCTTCCTCGCCTGTTCTAAGAAAGGGACAGAATTATTTATATACACTTTTATATCAATAAAAGCCCTCCCCCGCTGTCGCAGCCTGCATGTGTCGTGTTATTTCTCGCCTGGCAGCCTCCCGTGGGTTGAGCCGGTCGGGCAGTTGTCTCCCTGCCACTGGAATGGGGATCTGTGCTCAGCAGAGCTCCAGCCCCGTGCAGAAGGGCTGTCTGCTGTTGTCTGGAGCGGACACCCCCTCTTTCCTGGGGCAGGATCCGTCCCCTTGGACTGTTGCTGTCTGTGCTGCACCCTGCACTGCCTGCTCCCAGCCCAGCTCCGCGGCTGGGCTCTATGCAGCTGATCCAGGCCAGGGAAGGAAGCTGTAACCAGGCTTTTAAAATTGATGTTTAATACTTCCTCCAATGTTTATGACTTATGTTTGCTTCTGTTAAATTCAGTGTGTAAAACTGCTTCGGTTCAGGTGCCGGAGCTCCTAATGAAGAGCTCGGGGAGCTCCTGTAAGCCCTCTGTTCCTGTTCCCACTATGCCGAAGGTGAGAAGCAAGGAGGAGAAAAATATCCCAAGGTTTCTCCTTCTCCAGGAAACTAAGTAAACAGTAAGTGCCAGTGGGGCAAATACCTCCGTGGGTCGCTCCTTGCTATGGGAGCTGGCTGGCCAGGCGTGTGTGCTGGAGGCTCGAGCTGGGAAAGGGCAAGGAGGGACTCCGCAGCCCCCCTGCTCGCTGCGGGGCTGTGCTGGGAGCTGAGAGCCAGGCACAATGGCCGGGGAGGCCGGCCTGCCTCCAGCTTCTCCCCTTTACTGCTCCAGAAGGGGTGTCCTGGAGAAGACTTGGGTGCTTTTAGGGCACAGCTTTGCTATGGCCAAGCCCAGCACAGAGAGGCAGGCTGAGCCCAGCCATGTGGCTGCTGCAGGTGAGAGATTTATAGTCGTCCCTCCTCACCAGGAAAGGGAGGGATGAACAAAGCCCTTGGCTTGGCTTCTTGGGAAGGCGGGTGGGTGCTCGGCTTTACCGCAGAGCTGCCGGGTGTGCGGGGGATCCCGGCCAGCAGTGTCCTGGGAGAGCAGCTCTCCAGCAGCAGGTTTGTCCAGGATGGCTGCACCCCCTGCCAGTGTATTTCAGGTTTGGCTGTGCGCGGAGGCAGTAGGTCCAGATTCGTGGAGAGCACAGGCAGGAGCCAACTGCCTTTGGCCAAATCTCATCTGGATCATGCCGATGCTCGGCTGCCTGGGACAGGGCAGAGCTCCTGCCTCGGGGTGTGTGGGCAGACGGTCATCAGGAGCTGTCAGCCCGAGCATGCCCCATCCTGGGACGCAGCTTTGACTCGAGCAGGGGCTGAGTGTGACCACAGCATGGCTGGGTGCAGAGCTGTGTGAGCCCTGCTGCAGCGGGGAAACCAGCCTTGGCCGGAGGCTGGTTGAGCTTTAAGCCAAACTAAAGGGTGGTTTTATCCTTCCCGGCGTGACTGTGGTTGCTGTGCTGAGCCCTGTGCTTGCTAGACTTCAGAGAGCGGGAGCCCAGGCCTTGGGCTCAGAGGATGCAGCATCAGACCCGTGCCCCATTCCTCGCCTCACCTTGCAGGAGCCGGCACGTGTGGGTAAACAGGAGCACCCATGTGGCGCCTATTGGGGTCAATCGGCGCTCCCTGGAGG